CTGGCTCCTGGCTCCTGCCTTCAGCTCTAGCTGCTGCAGTCACTTGGGGAGTGAATCAGCAGATGCAAGATCTTTCTCTCTGTCTCTCCTTCTCTCCGTAGTTTGCCTTTCCAATAAAAATAAATCTTTAAAAAAAAGAAAAAAGATTATATCATCATATTTAAAAAAACATATGCCTTGGTCTTGCTTCTTGGAAAAGCACCACAAATCAATTTCAGAGAGATTATAGAGGTAATTTATACATGAGTCCAATGCACAGAGGTTCTCTGAATCAATACTAATGCTTACAAATTTCAAAATATGGTGCTGACACCATGGTGTAAGTATGCTGATCCTCCACCTGGGGCACTGGTTCGAGTCCCAGCTACTCTACTTCCCATCTAGCTCTCTGCTTATGGCCTGCGAAGGGAGGGAAGGATGGTCCAAGTGTTTGGGTCCTTGTACCCATATGGTAGACACAGAAGCAGCTCCTGGCTTCTGATCAGTTCAATTCTGGCCATTGTGGCCGTTTGGGGAGCGAACCAGTGGACAGAGGATCTCTCTGTGCCTCTCCTTCCCTCTATAAAACTCTGTCTTTCAAATAACTTTTTTTTTTTTTGCAATTGTGCTGTGATCTCAAATAAGTCTTTTTTAAAAACTTCAAAATTAGCCAACAGGACTTTCTGTGCTGACACTGTCGCAGATCCTATGCCTTCAATCCTGTTTCCTCACAAGAGATGTCATTTCCCTCATATCTGACAGTTAGGAAACACACCATCAAACATAGCAGGAAGACGGGAGGTTTGACCAGTTGCACAAGCTCACCACCCAACTCCAAACTAGCTAATAATGATGTAAGGAGACAGAGATTGGTGCCTGCAGGACCAAAGCCCTCCAATAGTGGTTAACAGTTTCCAAACCCCTTGTGGGATGATACCCCTCAGGGTACCCACACGCTCACTTGCACCATTCACAGTGTAAATCCCAAACACACACTGGTCTGTGCCTGGCGATAGATACACTGACCTGACAGACGCCTTGACACTTTCCTCATCCCTCCACGGTGGGGTGGGGGTGGGGGCAGGACAAGGGTCATCTCAACATCAGGTACCCTGTTCGGCTGTCCCTGCCAGCAACACTCCCTAAGTATCTGGCGCGCAATAGTTCAACCAGACCCCCTCTGTGGAGGATGTATGGGGACTGGTTTCTGGGAGACCAGGCAGGAGGTCATCCCGTAAGTGTGTGTGCCAACACACACACACACACACACACACACGGCCATCGACTAAAGCTTTCCCCAGGCAGGCGCAGGTCAGTGCGCTCCCCGCCCCATCCTGTCCTCCGGAGTAACCTTCCCTTCTCAGCTTCCCAACTGAGCGCCAAATTTTATAATCAAGCGCCTTTTCCTGCAGCTAACACGTCTATGACTAATTAGATATGCAAAGGCGACTTTTCCTAGGCTCTGCTTACAAACGAGAAAATCAGTTTAAAAAAAAATACATATATACATACACACGCACACACATATATGTCAAGGGGGGCTACACTTAAGGGTTAACTAAGCCAGGGTAGCGACGGAGTCGACCCCCACCCCATCCACGCACACCCACCAGGGCAGTCCTGACACTAAACACCGGATTTCCAGGGCCAAAGTCTCCCAGCGGATACCATGGCGTGGACAGGCCCCGATCCCGACCCGCGCGGGTCAGGGGCCCCTCGGACTGTTCCCTCCCATCCCCAGGGTGGACGCCCGCGTTCCCCGGAGGCCCTCGGGTGCAGCCTGAAGGGAGGAGAGGGAGGAGGAGGAGGAGGACGAAGTGCCTTACCCGAAGGCGGCTGCTGGAGCTGCTGCCGTCCTCCGCCCCCCGTCCCACGGGCCCCGGGGTGTTCATTCCAGCACCGTTCTCCGAAGCGGCACCGGCCCTGAAGGAAGAACTGACAGACGGTCATCGCGACGGCATGGCCGAGCGGGGTCCACAAAGGTGAGCCGCTCACTACCGCGGCCCACGAGCAGCCTAAGGCGCCCCGCCACTGTGTCGTCATCGGATCGCGCCCGGCGGGGGGGTGTCACGCGATGAGAGGCGTGGAGACTAGCCAATCAGGTGAAAGAACGGAGCGGGGACCGCCGTGCTGGGCGTGGCCTGCGGAGGCGAGAAGCTTGATTGAACATCTTTACGAGGGAGAGCACATGTTGCATTTGGTGCTGCGGGCAGGATCCCCGACTCCCGCGGACGTGTAGGCCCCAAACCAGACGGGAGCAAGGCAGCCGAGTGCATAGCTCCAGCAAATTCTCGGGAGGAAGGTTAGTGGCAGCTGGAGGGACCAGGTTGTTCTCTTCCGTTGTAACTGGCTATGAAAGTTAAAAAAAAAAAAAAAAAAAACAGATGAAGGGGAGGCGGTACAATGGCTCAATCGACTAATCCTCCCCCTCCAAGCGTTGGGATCCCATTTGGATGCCGGTTCATGTTCCAGCTTTTCACTCCCCATCCAGCTCTCTGGTTATATGTTTAAGGATTTATTTATATTACTCAAAAGGCAGAGTGACAGAGAGGGAGAGACAGAAATATTCTATCAAAACAGAAAATAAATCTATCAGCTGGTCCAGTCCCCAAATAGCTGCAAAAAGCTTGGTCTGGGTCAGGTTGAAATCAGGAGCCAGGAAGCCCATTTCGGTCTCCTACATGGGTGGCAGGGGCCAAGTACTTGAGTCATCTTCTAGTGTCTTCCCAGGGGCATTAGCAGGGAGCTGGGGCAGAAGCACAGCATCCTGGACTCTGACACTCTGACATGGGATGCCAGCATCACAAGAGACAGCTTAACTGTGCCACAACCCCAGGCTCAAGGATTGTGAATTGTATCTGTCAGCCTGAGCCCCAGAGACCCTGCAGCTGTGCTTACAGCCACCATCTTCCCAACTTGCCCACCTTACACCCCCAAGGGGTGGGAGGTTGAAGATTTGGTGGTGGTGGGGGGGGGGTGAAGGGGATTATGAAACAGTCCAGAAAAAACACCTAAGGATCTCCAAGAAAAATAGCTGTCATCCTGTGATGATTACTCAGTTCATTCTTTTATTTTTAAAGATTTATCATTGTTTTTTAATTGGAAAGACAGATATACAGAGAGCAGTAGAGACAGAGAGGAAGATCTTCCATCTGATGATTCACTCCCTAAGTGGTCGCAATGGCCAGAGCTGCGCCGATCCAAAGCCAGGAGCCAGGAGCCTCTTCTGGGTCTCCCATTTGGGTGCAGAGTCCCAAGGCTCTGGGCTGTCTTTGACTACTTTCCCAGGCCACCATCAGGGAGCTGGATGGGAAGCGGGGTGGCTGGGATTAGAACCGACGCCCATATGGGATCCCGGCATGTGCAAGGTGATGACTAGGCTACTGTGCTGCTCAGTTCACTCTTGTTGCCAATTTTTAATGTCCATTTTGAATTTAAATACATGGCTAGGGACTGGGTATTTGAGGATAGATGCCTCAAACGGGAAAGAGCAAAGTGAACCAAAAAACTAGAGGAAAGACACAGAGTATAGTGCATGATGGAGACTAGAATGTGTTTGGAGAAGATATCATGGGAAACAGACAGCAGGCTATGCAAAACAATAGTCAGCAGGTGCTCATGGCAATTCAGTATGGTTGGTGGGAATAAACTAAACAGAGGAATGGGAAGATACAGTCAGGAGAACACCTTAGATGCTTGAATAAATTCGCTTTTGAAGCCAATTTGCCTTACCTTGCTACACCACTTGGTCTACACCACGTGCTACACCACGTGTTGGTCTCAACTCCCACCATGTCACAATCTGATTGGTTTGTTATAGCAACAATTTTTTTTAAAGATGCTAAACTCTTATTGGAAGTGTAGTTTTCAAAAAATATAAACTGAATCTCTGTATCATCAAACTAGTATCACTCAAATGATATTAACATATCATTCAAACATCTGATAAAAAGGGTCATTTTACAGGATAGGAAGTTTTTGGAGAAAACATAATAGAAAATGTGTGCCTGTCAATTTGGTGTGCTCATTATCTTGACATGCACAATTCTGTGGAGTATTTCCCAGCAGAAGAACCCCACTAGTTAGGAATTATGATACTAATTACTAAAGAAAAAGAAGATAAACCCTTAATTATAGCCCATATAAACCCTGTATTTACTACTGTGTTTTCTACTCAGTTGATACAGCCTAAAAAGACAGGTTAGTGTAGAAAATATAAAGTGTTGTTGTAGATTCCACATGAGATTATCATATTATGCAGTGATCATATTATAATGAATTGATACTCTACCCACCAAAAATATTGACAATTTTTCAGTAGAATGCAATGATTAAAAGTGTTAAAAGTAAGCTGTTCAGAACAGCAAATCTAGAGGCAGAAAGTTGATGGGTGGCTGTCGAAGTGTTTGGGGGGGATAGTGGGTTGAATACTCTATTAAACTCCCACCTAGTCATGCAGTAGCATCAGTTTGTACAAGGCTTTTGATTTTCATCACTTTGGCGATGCACTGGTCATTCTGCAGCATGTTGTTTAACTTCAGGTTGATATAAATTTCCAGTTTTTCTCCCTGTTATGGACTGTGTTTTCTGGCTCTGTATTTAAGGAGATGTGTAACAGAAGTGTAGTGGAGACTGACTTGTCCAGATGTGGAGACATAGTGCAGTAAGTCTCTGCATCCAAAGATGCACTCTCAGTGGAACTACTAAATATATTCTGACAGCAGGATGCTGGACTCTGCCACTGTCCATGCCTACAATGTCGGGAAACACTTCAATAGCAGAATGATGGACTTATGACTGTTCATGTGGGATACCCATTGAAATACTAGAAGGTAAATCAATGCAGGGGGGAGTAGACTAAGAGAGGGGGATAGAAATCCCAGAACCTATGGAACAGTATCATAAAAAAGACAAAGAAAATCATGCTAAGTAAAATAGAAATGCTGTTTTACAATTAAAAAAAAAAAACAACCATCACTTAACGTATTTAAAGGTTAAAATGAGTAACACTGAGCCACCTATTTTAAGTTAAAAAATATTTAATATTATCAGATAAAAACATAGAGGGTGACAGCTTTACATGGCTCATTCCATAGTGAGAAGGGCAAAACACTGCAAACAAAGAAATGCTTAACTGAGGTGGTAAAGGCTCTACTGACCGTAAAGAAGCAATGAATTGAATACGCAGATTTTAAATTATTATGAAGCTTTTCCAGACAACTGGGTCAATCAGCAGATGTGTCTGGCTAAGGAAAAAAGAAAGATCATGTATCTTTGTAATTCATAGTTCAAAGTAAACGATGTGGTACAAGGCTTTCCTAATGATCTACACAATTGCTATAAATAGTCTTATCTTAGTTGATCATACTATGATGGCATTTAACAGTGAGGACTCAAGAGGCAGAGATTTTCGTGAACCACTGCATGAACACAGCGACATAAATAATGATGGGCGCTAGGCTAACCATCAAGTTAAAATGATGGTATCTATTTAATTAGATTAAATATATTTGACAAGGGGTTGGGCACACAGTTAACCTCCCAAAAACATAGTTCATGAACTTCTGTGCAAATGTAGGACTTATTCTTGTAAGACTTCCTTGCAAGATGGAATACATTTGGCACTAAAGGAAACAAATGAAGACAAGCAAGTGAAGATACATGAGACTAAGGGACTCCATCAGGGTTGCCAACTCGGATGAAATTTCATACTCTCAGATCTTGACAAAACAGAAAGAGACAGATCTAATTACAGAGCACTTGCATCATGTATGAAAATAGAATCGCAGTCAAGCCGAGACCGCTCTGCCAGTGTGCCACGTCCTCACTCTGGCGTCATCATAGTCACAAATGTGAAATTCATTCCAGAAATTTGGTATTTCCACCAAATACATGTAGCTTTTTCAATTTTCTTGCTAGATATCTTCTTATCTATTTGGTCAGCTAAAACATGGTCTTTGAATTCGGTGAGGAGATCCATATAAAAGAACTATCAATTTTATAGGGATTTCACTTAAACTAAACATCAAGTCACAACTTTGCAACCAAACCCTAAGGACACAGCACGGGGTAACCGCATGTTCTCAGTGTCTGCAGACTCTTGGGGCCCACTCAGTTCTCATGTTTCAAGGGTCTCTTCATTCGCGCCACAGGTATCAACGACACAAATTAAGCAACTCGTGACTGGGAAAGCACGCACTTTGGAGTTGGCGACCCATTTGTCTGTTTCGGTGTTGTATTCGAGGATGTGTCCTAACCGGCCGACGCCTTGAAAACCGGCCAAGACATAAACTACAGAGCCGACGGCTGCACACTTCACCGTCACGCCCTTCCAGGGCATGGGGGAGACCATCTTCCACTCATTCAATTTAATATCGTAGTATTCGACGTTGTCGAGACCACCTTGAAAAGAATAAGACAGCAAAAAACAAGATCAGCATGAAAATCTATGCAAGTCTTGGAGAGCTCTTAAGAGCTGTGACTTCTTTAACATGAATATTTTTGAATAATTTTACAATATATGCATACATATACACCATTTCAATTCTTTTTAAGATTTTATTTTTTTTATTTTAATTTTTTAAAAAGATTTATTTATTTTATTGGAAAGTCAGATATACAGAGAGGAGAGACAGAGAGAAAGAGAGAAAGATCTTCTGTCCAATGATTCACACCCCAAGTGACCACAATGGCCAGTGCTACACCAATCCACAGCCAGGGGCCAGGAACTTCCTCCAGGTCTCCCACACGGGTGCAGAGTCCCAAAGCCTTGGGCCGTCCTCAACTGCTTTCCCAGGCCACAAACGGAGCTGGATGGGAAGTGGAGCTGCTGGGATTAGAACCGGCGCCCATATGGGATCCTGGCGTGTTCAAGATGAGGACTTTAGCCGCTAGTCCACGCCGCCAGGCCCAAGATTTTGTTTTTATTTGAAAGTCAGAGTTAGAGAGGGAAAGAGAGATCTTCCATCTGCTGGTTTACTCTCCAAATGCTTGCAATAGCCAGAGCTAGGCTGATCTTAAGGCAGGAGCCAGGAAATTTTTCTCGGTCTCCCACATGGGTGCAGGGTCCCAAGGCTTTGGGCCATTCTTGACTTCTTTCCCAGGCCACAAGCAGGGAGCTGTATGAGAAGTGGAGCAGCCAGGACACCCTCTGGTGCTCATATGGGATGTTAGCACTACAGGCTGAGGCTTTGCTTACTATACCACCTTGCTGCACCAACCAATCCCGTCATTTTCGATAACAGAAATGTAGTTTTTTAGTATTATAAATTGCCCTTTTCCTCTGACAAAGATGTCCTATCCTGGAAAAAAATAAAAACGCAAAGCATTCAGTGCTTATTATATAAAGATCCTTTTCCTTTCTATATTTTAGCAGTTCATGGAAAAATAGGGATATAGAAGGAAGGTAGAGTTTTTAACACTTCAGAAGAGCTTAAACCTACTGATTAAAATGCAGTTTGAGAATATCTCTAGATTCATTTCAGATCCCCAAGAATTTAAAACAAGCAGGTTCTGTAGCTCATCATTATTCAAAAAATAAAAAAGGTCCAATTTTGTCATTAAAAATCAATATTTTTAAATTTTCATTCTCTACTCAAAAAATAATTAAATGCTTTGTCATTTGCAACTTGGATGTGAATCTTTAAAGTTTCTACTTAACAAGTTTAATTGTGGCTGGTTAGCTCAGTTGGTTAGAGCGTGGTGCTGATAACAAGCTTAAGAAGTTTTTTTTAATATGGCTAGGGTTGTTGGTTCATTCTTTGCAATGGCTCTTGCTTGCTTCAATGTGCAGTTTTGTAGAGTTAAATCTAATTATTTTTGCTGTTAATCTTATCTTTTAACACTTCATAGTTATCTGTATCTCTCCCAATAAGTTCTTGTGATTCATTAATTGATCATCCGTAAGAGATGGATTCTTGTAAACACTTGAGATTGTAAATGTCCATTTCAACACTGTTTTGCCACATCGCGTGAGTAACGACACTCTAGTTTTAAAGTGTAATTCCTGCAGCCCCACAAGGGTCATGCACTGGCATCTATTCCTACAAGAAGGTTTCTGATTCCCAGTTTCACCACTCTTGTGATGCATTTTTATTTTTGTAGCATGGTTGTTAACTTCATGTTGATGAAAACTTATTTTCACCCTGTTGTGGACTGTGCTCACTGGTTCTGTAAGTTAGAGGATATAGGACGGAAGTGTAGTGGGGACTGAGACGTTCAGATATGGAGACAAAGTGCTGTATATCTCTATGCGTGCAGACCAGAGATGGACTCCCAGTGAAAGAATTGAACACATCCTAACAGTAAGATGATGGACTCCTTGACAGTGTCCATGCCTACATTGTTGGGAAACACTAGAACAACACGGCTTCATGAAGGCCATCCATTGTAAAGCTAGAGAGGAAATTAATGAAGAAGGAGGGGAGGGACCTTGGGGAAGGGCACAGGCAACCCCAGAGCCTATGGAACTATACCATAAAACAAAATAAAATATGTTTAAAAAAAAAGTTCTTATAGTCCAGATGTGTATTGCTCGATAGTTGGGAGGCTGGTGTGAAGCCATCCCCAGGGCATCTGGTGGTACTCAGAGACGGGGCAAGTTTAACACCCTGCTATGTTTCATGAAATGCTGACATGCTAGTTCTTGGAGATGAGAGGATACATATGTGACCAATGGCATGTGCCTGCATCCAGCTTTTAATAGCTATTTCAGTCATTTTAGGAGGGGCCCGTGAATGCACCAGAGAGTGGAACAGTGAATTAGCGTACGTACCTAAGCCGTTCTGACCGCCCACAGCAAATATCTTGTCTTTGACAAAAACCAGCCCGTGGTTCTTCCTGGCCTCAATCATTGGACACAGCTCTGTCCATCTGAAAAAAACATGCCGTTATTAGTGTAGCGTTCCCAGGCAGGGAAAGGACTTGTGCACCTGCAGACAAGGTCTCCGCTCCCAACTGCACCTAAGTGTGGCTGCCACAGGTGCATATCCATCTGGCCACACAAAATGTCTTCAAGGCTAGAACACTAACAGAGATTATATGGGTGATTTATTCGTGGGGTCAGTTAGTAGGGATTTTATTATTTTCAACATCAATGGGAGAAAAGAAATAGTAACTACTATTAACCTGTGTTTGGGAGAAAATAATTTGTTTTTGCTTAAAATAAGCTTTAAGATGGCAACATAAAAGAAGGGGAAGACAGAGAATATGAATTTGTCACATGCAGTATTTATGTTTAAGTGTAAGGAAAACACAAACAGAATGGAGCTCAGGCTATAGTAAATTAGTAGCATTTGACATTCACATGTCCATTAAAAATGGACATGATTTTTTTTTCTAATTGGAAAGTGAGATGTACAGAGAGGAGGAAAGAAAGAGAGGAGGATCCTCCATCTGCTGATTCACTCCCTAAGTGGCTGCAACAACCAGAGTTGCACTGATCCGAAGCCAGGAGCCTGGAGCCTCTTCCAGGTCTTCCATGTGGGTGCAGGGTCCCAAAGCTTTGGGCCGTCCTCTACTGCCTTCCCAGGCCACAAGCAGGGAGCCAGGTGGGAAGCGGGGCTGCTGGGATTAGAACCAGTGCTCATATGGGTTCCCGGCACGGGCAAGGTGAATACTTTAGCCACTAGGCCACTGCGCCAGGCCCAGACACCAAGTATTTTTTAAAATTTTACTTCTGAGAAGCAGACTAATTCACTAAAAACATGAAAAAAGAATTTCCTCCCCATTTTATTTGAAAGGCAGAAAAACGGAGATCTTCTGTTAGTTCATTCCCCAAATGCCCGCAACTGTCAGGGCTGCCTATGCCAGGCCAAAGCCAGGCGGGAATCCTTTCTCAACTCCAGCCTCCCCCATGGCGTAAAGTACACTGTTATTTAAGAAGGGAATTCTATGTCCTTTAAAGAGAAAGAGGAAGTTCAAACAGGAAAATGTACATAAGTAGTCAGAGTTCATAAACTTCTGTCTCTTAATTAAAAAAGCAACAGATGGCATCATATTTCTTAAATAATATAAACCTTGAAGAGTCTTACAGCAACTCTGGCATAACACTCAAGTTGAACATATTTATCTAATGACTTGTTTTGGGACAATGAACAATACAGACATAGGAGCATGTGACTTTTCTTATCAGCAAAAGGAAACATTAGGGCAGTACCCGTTGTATTTACTAAACAGCTTGAATGTAACTGCTTACTACCATCCCTGTTATTCAATGGTTAGCTCACTTCCTTCGGATACAGTGGATAGGTTCCATCATTAAATACAAGATCTGAAAACTGGCTAGTCCTATCTTTCTTCCAGCGTTTTGCCTTTTTACATCTTTCACTGGGAAAGGCCAGTAAAAGGTATCTTCCATCTTCTATTCAGTCTTTAAATGTCTGCAGCAGCCAAGCCTGGGTTAGGCTGAAGCCCGGAGCCTGGACATCCATCAGGGTCTCCCATAGGAACCCACCATCTGCTGCCTCAAGCGGTGTGCTACAGGGGAAGTCAATGTGGTGTGGTGTGCATTAGCAGGGCAGCGAGTCAAAAGCAGAGGAGGCAGGGCACACCAGGCACTGCAAAGGCATGTGGAATTCCCATACACGGATTCCACGGATTCCAAGCTGCATCCTAGTGCCATGACAAATGCTCATCCAGCATTTGCCTATTTCTTTCTTTTTTTTCTTTTATTTCTTCCTTCCTTCCTTTCTTTTTTTACTATTTATTTTTATTGGAAAGGCAGATCTACAGAAGAGAGAAAGATCTTCTGTTGGTTCATCCTTCAAATGCCCACAATGGCCAGAGCTGGGTTAATCTAAAGCCAGCAGGCAGGAGCCAGGAGCTTCTTCTGGGTCTCCCACATGGTTAGGCCATTCTTGACTGTTTTCCCAGGTCACAAGCAGGGAGCTGGATAATAAATGGAGTAGCCAGGACACGAACTGGCACCCTTATAGGATAATGGCACATGCAAGGCAAGGATTTAGCTACAAGGCTATCATGCCAGGCCTCGCCTTTTTAATAAGTTATTTGCTTCCCAGTTGATGCCATCTCATTCTGTTGAGATCTTTCTATAATATGTCATACAGAATAACTGAAATAAGAGATCTGAATGAACACGCACGTTTCGGTGGCAGGGTCATAGACTTCGCAGGAATTCAGAACTCGCCCAGAGACGTTGTTCCCTAAGCTGCCCCCACACACATAGATGAGGCCGTTGGCTTCCACCATCCCATGGCTGCAGCGTTGGGTCAGCATGCTGGGCTTGGTATGCCAGCTTTCTGTTCGTGTATCATAGCACTCAAACAGGTACAGAGCTGAGTTTCCTATAAAGGAAAGAAGTCTCATCACACTTAGTGTTGGGTATGTGCAGGTTTGGAGCGAACTGATTGTATACTTGAGTGCTATTATAAAAATTATGTTTATTTAAAGAGCTACAGAGAGTGAAAAAGAGATATCTAACACCCACTGGTTTACTCCCCAAATGGTGTTAACAGCCTGGCCAAAGCCAGGAGCCAGGAGTTTCCTCCTGGTCTTCCAAGTGAGTGCAGGGGCCAAGGACTTGGGCCATCCTCTGCTGCTTTTCCCAGCGCACTAGCAGGAAGCTGGGTCAGAAGTGGAGTATCCCAGACTTGAACCGGTGCCCTGAGAGGATGCCAGCACTGCGGTGAAGGAGTTATCTTCTGTACCACATGCCAGCCCCTCAAATCCTTTTAGGAGAAGGAGAAAGTTGGGGTCGTGTTTCTACTCTACCAACACCACTATCCACATATAGGGAGGAACAGACAAAACTAATAAGCTTTGTTTACATCTTGGAAAACATAAAAAAAAGGTTCTGTTGAAAAAACTTATTTATGGGTCATTAAATGTTAAAAAAAAAGAAATTGCCGTGATTTCAAACAGAAACATTAAGAAGCATCACATGATTTGTCAAGCCCAACACTACAAATATGAATAGAGTGGATAAACACAGATGTTAAATTTCTACCTTAAAATAGGAAAACCACAATCTGATAGTATTCTAAGCTTTACTTCTTATTTCATAATACCATGGCACCACTGCCAAGACTTGACTCTATGACTACTCTTAGTGATTGTGACAATAAGCCTGGAAGCCTATTTTTCAAAGCTTATTTATTTATCTAGGGTTTAGTTGAAAGTAGAGGGAGGGAGGGAAGGAGGAAGAGAAGGACAGGGAAAGTGAGGGAGACAGACAGAAGGACAGATAGATTTTCCATCCACTAGTTTACTCTCCAGGCACCAGAGACTCCATCTGTGTCTCTGCCTTGTGTGGAAAGGAATCTTGTTCTCGAGCTGTGACTGGCTGAACTGCAGGGTCTACAATAGCAGAAAGCTGGAATGGAAGCAGAGGCAGGAGCTGGTCCCAAGCAGCCCAATACAGGATGTGGGCATTGCAAGGGGAAGCTTAAACTACCACACCACAATGCCTGCTTCTTGGTCCATTCTGTCTACATTGAAAAGACATCAATGAAGTGTGTGTGCATTTATCTAAAAGGAGTAAAGACAGAATGACACAGAGCTGGTGAAGAGGGAGGATGAGAATGGATCTCTTATCAGCTGGTCCACTCCCCAAAAGGCCATAGTAGCCAGGTTCTAGGCCAGGCTAAAGCCAGGAGTGAGGACCTCTATCCTCATCTCCCATGTGGGTGGCAGGAGCCCAAGTCCTTAGGCCACAGGCGTCACAGGCAGTGATGTGCTGCAATACTGGCCAAGGTTTCTGTTGTATTCTTTTTTTAAAAAATTTATTTTATTTTTATTGCAAAGTCAGATATTCAGAGAGGAGGAGAGACAGAGAGGAAGATCTTCTGTCCGATGATTCACTCCCTAAGTGAGCGCAACGGCCAATGCTATGCTGATCTAAAGCCAAGATCCAGGAACTTCTTCTGGGTATCCCACATGGTGCAGGGTCCCAAGGCTTTGGGCCATCCTTGACTGCTTTCCCAGGCCACAAGCAGGGAGCTGGATGGGAAGAGGAGCTGCCGGGATTAGAACTGGCTCCCATATGGGATCCCGGGGCGTTCAAGGTGAGGACTTCAGCCGCTAGGCCACCGCGCCCGGTCCTTCTGTTGTATTCTGATTATATATTTTGAGAGTAAGGATGTAACTTTTATGTTCTTTATGTTTTTCAACTTCTTCACATTGTAGCAGAATTTTTAGAAATTATATTACTAAAGATTGAGAGTGTTTCCTCCTTCCTGAGCAAAAAGACGTTAGAACTTTACTGTTTCTCTCCTTTCTAGTCTAATTTAAAATAATTAAAACAATGGCATCAGGGACCAGTATGGTGGCACAGTGAGCTAATCCTCAAACTATGGTGTCAGCATCCCATACATGTGCCAAATTTATATTCAGCTACCTGCTGGTGGCCTGGGAAAGCCGCAGACCATTGCCAAAGGCCTTGGGACCCTGCACCCATGTGGGAGACCCCAAAGAAGCTCTTAGCTCCTGGCTTTAGTCCAGCTCAGATCTGGCAATGGTGGCCATTTGGGTAGTGAGCCAGCAGATGGAAGATCTCTCTCTTCCTCTTTCTGTCATTGTGACTTTCAAGTAAAATAAATTAAAAAAAATTTTTATGACAATGGCCACCTACAAAAATGACCAGAGAACTGCATAGCTTGGATCCTCTTATAAGACTATGACACACACATACACACAATATGTATAAGGATATTCATTTAGAAAATTATTTTATTCAGGAAAAAAATCAGTAGTAGACACTAACAAACTATTAACCAGTGAGAAAAGTTTTTATACCCACACTCTGACCTGGTCAGTCATTAGATGAAACCCCTAGGTGTGGGGCATGTGGCCTGGTGGTTTGGACACCCATTACCCTGAAGGGTCTGGGATACTTTGAGGCTCTGGCTCTTGACTTGGCTTCCTTCTAATGCAATGTTGGAGGCAGGGGTGATGGCACAAGGGACTGGGTCCCTGTCATCCACAGGGGAGACCAGGAAAGATTTCCTGGCTCCAGTTTCCCGCCTCTGCCTCAGGTGGCAGCCCCTGTGGGTGTTTGGGGATTGCATCAGTGGAAGGGAATATTTTTTTTACCAGTCCCTTGGCCTCTCAAACAAATAAATAGAAATGTTGAGGTAATCTATTAGAAATATTCAGGTTTTCAAAAACTACAAAGCAACTCAAGATCATTCTTATGGATGTCACATATCCCAAAAAATAACCAAGAGATAAAATTTAGATGGTGTCAACTTCATCGTGCTGAACAAAACTAACAGAGAGTGTAATCTAGGGAGCTGAAATCTTTGTTAATTAACAATTTATAAAGGAATAAGGTAAATATTTAGGCTCTGAAATGTGACAGACATGAAAGTATCCTTACAAACAACACGGATGCCTATTTAAATACATCATCTACAATGTTTCTCTTTTAAATGTTTTGCCTGAACTGAACGAACATGGCAAGTCCTTACCTACTTCGGAACCTCCTGACGTGTAAATCTTGCCTTCTGCGGCACAGGCAGCCAGGCTGTCTCGCGGGGTTGGAGGTCCAAGTTTGGAATACCAGCTGTCCTTGACCACGTTGTAGCAGTCCATTCGCTTTATGGGGAAAAGCTGAGAGCCTCCCAGAATGTACACCACATTGTCCCAAAACACGCACGCTGCGTCTCTCCGTTTTTCAAAGGGGCAGCGGATGTCCGTCCAGCTATAGTCCTGTAACAGGAAAGGTTGGGAAGCTTTTGGTAAGGGAAAAACATAAACAAAAGGAACAAAGAAATAGTCAAGCCAACAGAAGATACAATGATCTTGGCTTGACGTGGTTACATGTTTAGCTTGAGATTAAGATCCAAGTTCATCCCCCTAAATGGTATGCCAGTTGGGGCTGAGGGCAAGAGAAAGCTGACTGCTTTGGGCTTTTTCCCTCAAATTCATTTCAACAGATCACCATTGCTATCTTTCTTTTGCTATTGAAAAATAAGAAAATTATACAAGAAAATTCTATAGCAAATCATTTTGTCCCTTTATAAAAGCCTCTTTTTTCAAATATATTGCTAGGCTTTCTCTGCCAGATATATTTATGTATTTTTTTAAACGAATAGATAACTATCTCAAGCTGCCAGCATCCTGTTGCCATCTGAAGGCAGAAGGTATTTTGTCTGCCTCTGTGACAGATTACTTTCTTATGACCATTCAGTTGAGCCAAAAGTAGTAAGTCAGACTCTTAAACCCTGTGCTTGATATTATGAAACACTCACCGAGTATGTTCTGTGTGGTCTGGATGCTCACTTTTCTCAATAATCAGCAAGAAGCACCTGTTGTGTAGCTCGTGCCAAGGGCTGTTCCCAGCACCATTGCTTACACACAAGGCTTGCCAGCATGGGTGTGTGTAGGGGAAGGCTCCCATCACATGGCATGCTGAACTCCTGCCTTTTTTTTTTTTTTTGACAAAGGAAGCTGTAGCATTTCTGCTGCTCTTTGAAAACAGGCTGACACAGGGATTCAGGAAATCCCAATGTCACCAAGCAAAGAACAAGCAGGATGTGATTCTAATGTTGAGTTCCATATGGGAAACCGGGCTGGTACCTGTGTTTCCCATGTTTGCTAGACTAGGTGAGCATGTCACAGAATGTAAGAGAAACTGTGTGCCTCAAAATGAAAGACAGGAAATTGCAGGAAGCCATGCAGTTGGGACAGATGGAGCGAGGGTGTGAAGAGCACAGCTCCTCGGTTAGCAAGGCTGTGAGTTTTCTGGCTGCGTGGCAAGGCCCGGCAGAATGTCTCTAATCATCTCATTGCTGCCTCACCCCAATGTATGGACACTCGAATACCTCTGATGTTTCATAGAATTCTCCTAAGAGCGTTGTTTTTCTCAAATGTGAAATGATTCCTGTATCTGGTATAACACCTCAAACTAATCAATCATGTTATGGTAAAAGCATCTTCAGCAACGTAAGGAAATGACACACAGCTAAAGCATTCAATAGTACAACTGAGCCCACATTGTCCCCAAACATCCTGTTAAGTTGCCCACCTTTGACCTGGAGCTTGTTCTAATATAAGTAATGTTTTCCTTAAGAAATGCCTTGATAATATCTTGGAACAAATGGCAATCATGGAGGTACAAAGAGTTTGTTTACCAAGCAGCCTTGAACTGTTACAACACACGAAATGATGCATTTTGGTTTTTCACCACGGAATGCAGAGAGTAAACGCAGCATCTGCTAAAGGGAGACAAATCTGAACCCCTCTCCCCCCACCAAAGAAAAGTGACTTAAAACTTCTACCTTATATTGGCACTTATATTTAGGGAAAGAAAACAGTTTTTAAAAGATAAAGAAGTTTCTTGTAAAGGCTCTCTGTAGAGAGGCTGAGTTGCCTTGATCCTTTTCACTGCCCTTTAACAAAAGAACAAAAAAACAATTGAATCAATACTAGGTGAAGGTGATGGTAATTAGCATGACTGATTATAAGATTTAGTAAAGAATATGATATATACCTTTATAGATTTCTCTCATTCATAGGCTTTCCTTTTAATCTCGTATTCTTGGTATTTGAAGTAATATTAGTTTAGATTTAGTGAAAACTGATTTTGTATATAAGTAAACCACTTGTTACTATGTAACTGCATGTGCTGCCAACCATGGAGTTCTGGCTTCAGTCAGGTCACTGCAGGTTTGAATGAGCGATAGCTTGCTGAAAATATTTTCTCTAAGGTAAAATAACAATAATTTTTTTAGGATTGTTTTTGTAATCATTTAATACTGAAGTAAAAATGAAACAAGCGGATGTTGTGCAAAAGCTTGTGATGATTTCTGTATAGATAAAGAAGGCAGCTTTTCTGAGTTGTCCATTGTATCATGCCATAGTGGTCCACATCTCCTTGTCTTTTTCACTGATCCACGCATCCTTTGCAAGCTCTCAAGTCAACCGGAGCTGGTCTCCGCCAGGAAATGAGGACCATATCAGAGGTAGTCACATGGTTTGCTTACATACTGTCAATTTGCTTAACAATTCCTATCTGACCAGGATTATTAGGCAAAGAAATGCCATTTTGTTAGTAAACAATGTTAAGCTTGCAAATTCAAATCTTACCATGTGCACACCCCAATTTTTTGATATCCATGATTAGAAAATCAGTTGGGCCATACCAGCAGAGCCAGCAGCCAGAGCTCCATCCCACCTACCTGCCACGGAGGTCTCTGTCCACCATCCTCCCCCTCCCTTAACTGCCCCTGGTGTTTCGCCACTCCTCAGGCCCCTGGCTTCCTGCCCTTTCCTTTGCTGCCTGTTGCTTCACCCCTCAGTGGCCTTGTGGCAGTAAATTTTGCCTTTCATGCACACCAGTGACCACAGACTGACCAAAGTCCAGCTTCCAAGAACACTGCTCGACATGGGCACTGGTGTGATCAAAGGCAGATTAAATGTCACTCTCACCTTTCGGCAAGGAAGTGGACAGAAGCATCAGAAAGGAAGGGTAATCTGTTAGTCACGGTGCTACTAGCCAACATCTCAGAGGGAACTGTTCTGAGTAAGTGATCACTTGAGCTGGACCCACCGATCTCATCTTCAAAGCCTTTTCTATGATCACCAGCAAACGAAAAGAGGATATTAGCAGCTCTAGGACCAAAAGCAGCGTCCAACAGGCCTCAGGTGACCCTGAGATTGGTGGTTCCTACAGCCAGTGTGGTTCCCTCAGTGGAAAAGGTGGTTGCAAGATCAAGGAAATGTGAGAATAGGCAGGGGCTCAGGTGCAAGGAGGAGAAGATATCATTCCAAGACCTCCAAGACCTCTCCTAAGGCCCTGGTGAGTAGCAAGGACCCCGAGGTCAAGAACAGCCAGCTGTTTGCTACCAGCCAGAAGTTCAGGAAGAACTCAGGCCATCACTACTGCTGGCACCCCACAGTCCATCATGGAGTGCATCACACAGATCCATGTGGTCATGTGGGAGTCTTCCCCAAAACAGTGCGAATGGATCCAAGCAGATCCCAACGATGCATTTCTCTGGTCACCTTTGTAGGTGGTCAGGCCCATGCCACTCCCAGATGGCGCGCTATATTAAGCAGCCAGACTTGACCATGTTGTAACAGCTGACAATGCAACGGGATCATTTCCCCATGTCATATGGCAACACCGGATTCAGTGGTGTGGAACCCAGCTGTCTGGAGATGAAGTACTACTGGGCAGGACTGGATGCCATCTGCTCAGACTACTTCTCATGAACTCACCATTCCAAACAGTTTGATCGGCTGCATGATCGAGAATAAGGATGAGATCTATGAGATCTGTAGGATGTCTGGACAGCAGATCAAAACCACAAACCTGGTAGAAGCACTGCTGATAGGCAGGCCATCATCATTGGATGTGCAGTCAGCACTGGCCTGGCTCAATACCTAGTCAACATCGGGCTTTCTTCAGAGATGGGCAGCCTGGGGGACAGCTACGTTCACCCAGAACCCTCTACTGCTCACCACCCATGATCCATCTGTGTAGTTTCTAACATGCAGCACTTCCAGAATTTAATCAGTTCATAAATTTTTAGTTTCTACAATACTCTGTCATCTACTCTTGACTTTTTAAATTATAATTCCTTTCCAGCTCAGCTATTGATTCTGAGATCCATATTTAGTTTTATAAATTTCTCCCCATGTTTTTTTTTTTTTCTTGGCTTATGAACTATTTTGCTTGTCACAGAAAAGTTAAGAGTAATTAATAATCGCAGTTCTGTAACATCAGGAGCTTTTCAAAAAATTAAAAGAAACTGTAGTTTTTGTTTTCTTTTTTCTTTGTTAATAGCAACTGGAGGGGAAGGAAAGTCATATGGGTATTTTCTCATAATATTTGCAGATATTCTCAAGGACATTATTTTCCCATTTAATTTTAAATTAATTCTAGGATAAGGGTCTCTCTCTCTCTCTCTCTCTCTCCTCTCCTGATAAGCCTCACTTCCCCAGTCCAAAACCAAATGGAGATGACTGGATGCCTGTTCTCTGCTAACTGGTTACACTACCGAGGAGACAGTGTGTGTAAATGAGGAAGCAAGGAGAGCTGGGAAAAATGGACAGGACCACAAATCATGGCTGTCAGCTCCAGGGAGTATGAGAATTGGACCTAACCCTGAGAACAGAACTAGTTCCATTCCGGTGGTAAGTGTTAGAGAGGCTAACTAACTTGCCTCATGTCAAACACCAATACTTGAAATGCTTTTTCTACAAAGAGCTGCTTTCCTTTAAAGAAAAAAAAAACAAACAAAAAACCCTCCCTCGACCAAGTCCTACACCTTTGGTTCTTCTGCATACATCTGATTTAAGCAGTATAAAGCTGAATTAGGTTTGCATTCAATTAAACGGCCCTTCTGGAGAAGGGTGGTCTAAGTGGCCTCGGTGCCACCTGGCATGTCCAGAGTGTCCGAGTTCAAGTCCTGGCTGCACTCCCATTTCCAGCTTCCTGGCAATCAGAAATGCAGTGAGTCTGACTCAGGACTTCTGAGACCATAGAGCCTTCTGAGACGCTGGCTAAGAACCTACACCAAAGGCAGCCTGCATGTGTGAGGTGACAGGACACAGTGCCCTCACCCACCCACCCCTGGCAATGCCCAGGAGCTGGAGGCCTTGTAAACACCAACACTGGTTTCCATTCCTGTTTCCTCATCTCCCAGTTACCGCCCTTAATCAAACACCTGCAGCTGTTTGCACGCTCTCCAAACCTAGCACAG